TCGGCGGGCCTGACGCCCAGCCTCGCACTGCTCTCTTCGGGCGGGCTCGGCTCCTTCCGGCCGTGCTCGGGTGCGCTTCCGGCCGGGTGGTGCGTCCCCATCACACTCGGGCTTCTCCGGCAGCGCTCGGTCCTCTCCGTCACTCTGGGGCCGGTCCCGCTCAAGCTCAAGCTCAGCGTGCTGCGCAGTCTCAGCTCTCCGCGCGCCCTCCGGACAGGACGGCTCACGGGACAGCGCTGTTTGGACCGCGGCCCGGAACCGCGAGACGGCGTTAGCCAGCCCCGAGCGTCGGGGGCGCTCGGCGCGCAGCCCCGTGCCAAGGCACGTGGGCGCACCTGTGGGCTCGGTGGCACATCCTGGGACAGAGTTCCAACGGGCGGGGCGGGAGTGCACCGCCGAACGCCCACGGGCGGTGTCCTTCTGGAGGAGGCGCCAGTGAGGGGAGTCAGACCTGCGGGCGATCTGGAGGAGAGGGGCCTCGTGGGGACGCATGCGCCCCTTTGCCCTCCTTCGCGTGTGACCGGGCCTGAGTGCAGACACGCACACCTGGGTGGAGAGTGTTGGCACGGACAGGTATCCAGTGAGCGTGAGTGAAGCAGGCCCTGAGTCGGTGTCCATCGTGGGACTTGGTCTTGCAAAGCAGAAGGTTGGGGAAAAAGAAAAAGCATAGAGACAGAAATGTAGGTGAACAACAGACAAGCTGTGCTGCTCAGTAGTGCTTCTTTTTATTTGTTTTACAAAGCATGGTGAGATTTCTGCAAGCATCTAGGAATGTGGTTAAAGTCTCACAGTCAGAGAAAAGCACCTTAAGAGCATACGTTTTAGAGGTCTTGTTGCTGTCATGTGTGACCTGGATATGTGTCCTGCATCGAGCCAGGTTGCTTATTGGCAGGTGTGCTGGCTTCAGTGAAGGCCGTCTGGTTTACCTCAGACAGGAGAGTGGGCAAGCCATAAACATTGTATGGAACAGGCATCCATAACCTAGCCAGGGTCAGGATGTTTACAGTGCCCGTAATTGTTTTTAGAAGCCCCTGGAATCCAAGGCATGTCAGCCAGTTCCCAGTACAGTGATTAATGAGGCATTTTGATAACTGCCTCCTACTGTTAGGCTGCATACCCTCATAGCCATGGGGACAAAAGCTGATGATTCCCAGTGCCCTGGATCCCGGATCATCTCTGAGACTCCATTACAGGTGGAAACGGAAAAGAAAACCTTTTCTTTGGTAGAGAGATTTTTGCTGTAGGGTGCGTGCACACCCGTTTGAGTTTCAAACTACCAGGACTAGGATTGCCATAGGCCATGTGGGAGTCCAGTGACATAACCATTATGCTATCTACTAATCCCTGAAAAGAACATCTTAAAGTGGCCCAAGGAGTGAGGAGGCCTGCCAAAACTGAATTGGGAGACAAGGCAGGACAAGGCAGAGAGCGTCTGCTGTGTGCCCCCAGGACACACCTTGACAAGAACTCCCTAACTACCTGGCACGGAACAAAACTGCTTTAGAAAGGCCATCAGAAACCTATGCTTGTGGATGTGGTCGAAGCAAGTGCTCCAAGGACTTGCATGTTTGTGACCTCCTCCCCTCCCCAGTCTAACCCTCAGGAGACCATTCTTTAGTGAGCCTGTTTTGGGCGACAGGAATGGATTCACCCTGGGGCCATCTGCAGTCCTGGCTCAGGTAAACTCATTGCTTTGCGTTTTGCCTCAGCTTCTTTTTTAGGTTGACAAAGAGCATCTCTGAACGGTAAGGCTGTTGTTGCCCTCCTTGAAACCAATGTCCTCATGCACCACTCTACCACCCCTTCTTGCCTCCAGACCTAGATTCAATTACAATCAAACCCAGGAGGACTTCAAGGAGACATTCCCTGGGACTGTATCGTATGTCTGTTGGAAAATGCACTGACTCACCTCAACTGATGGTACTCGCTGTGAGTGGTGCCTCCTGCAGCAGCCTTCCCACCTACCCAGATCTGTAGCACTTTCTATGGAGTCGCATTCTCTGGGACAAAGTAGATGGGCAGCCAACTACAGTGTTGTTTGATTCGGAGGACCAAACAAGCCAGGAAGTGGGCAGAAGAGCCATATCAGTTTTTGCAGTGGAAAAATCATAATCCCTCATTCTTTATCTAAATCTGAACCAATTCTGAGCCCATGGATTGAAAGGGGGGCTTGCTTACCTTTTCAGACGGAGTAATCAAACTCTAAAATATTGAAAAAGGTTTATTCTAAGCCAAAACATGAGAACTGCAGCTGGCATGCAACCTGGATGGATAATTCCGGTAGCCCCAAACATTCTCCCTGAGCTCTTCTGATCCTTCAATAGGTTTTTTTTTTCTTTATCTTTTTCTTTTTTCAGTTTTTAGATTTTTTGCCATAGGGCACATGTGTTTGCCAGAGAGGGAAAGTGAGAAATCACCCCTCAGGAGGATGTCCACACAACAAACGTTGTCCTCCACTATCCCCTTAGGATTTTAGGCATGCTTGCCCAAATGCCCAGTGTGATTTTTCAAGCCACTGGGTCTGAGGCTTGAACCACCATCTGCCATGTGGAGTTCAGTGCCTTAGCCACCATGCCACCTGCTGGTCCCTCCTTGCTCAGGTCTGTTAGACTAAACATCTGGCCTGAGATGGCTGATGTACTCCCACAGTTGGGTCCCTGTGGATAAACTGAAGTTACACATGTTAGGCTGCTTTTTTTTTGAACTGGTTACTAAGTTATAGCCAATCACACTAGTCACACTTTATTCAATCACAGAAAGCCCACCTTTGAGGCTGTTTTTGCCTAGTACCATCCATCTCTTTTTTTTTTTTTTTTTGAGAGGTCTTTGCTATAGGGTGTGTGCGCTCGCCAGAAAGACAGAGAGACAGAGAGAGAAACAGAAAATGAGAAATCACCCCCCTGGGGGGGGATGGCCACGCCACAATCCCTTCTTTTCCATTCACCTCTCAGGATCTTGGGAACGTACGCACACGCGCCTGGTGTGAGTTTAAGCCACCAGGTCTGGGACTCGAACTGCAATTAACTACATGGGAATTCGGTGACATAGCCATTATGCCAACTGCTGGTCCTGTGACCAGTTATCTCTAACATACTCCCTCATGATTTTGTGTGACACTTTCCCTCTTACTGAACACGTCACTTTCCTGTTCCACCCATATATTGCCGGAGACCTGCTCCAGCTGGAAGGCAATGCAGGCAAGAAGGAATCCGACTGAGACCTCAATGCCCTTCAGCATGTTCTCAGTCGACTACAGCCAGAGCAAGCTCAAGACTGCAGCCTCAATGGCTAGGAGACATACGTATTTATTATTGAAGGAGTTTTATAGGGGTAGGATGGGTGAGGGGAAGTAAGTAAAAGATTTTACTCTAAAAGGTAAAGTATTTAAAGCATAGGAACAATAATCATAAAACATGATGTCTGTTTTGTTTAGGTATAAACAGTTATAATCCTTAGGACGAGGGAGTCCATTTGTCTGGTGCATTCTCTTCTTAGATCTTGATTACCGGGAAAGATCTTCTGGGTGACGGGGCTCCCAGGAATCTTAATAACCTCAGTCCCAGGCCAGCTTGATAACTTCAGTCCCAGACCAGCTTGAGAATTTGAGCCCCAGGCCAGCTTGAGAACTTCAGCCTCAGGCTAGGGTGGCAGCGGATTGCCAGTTATAAAGGCCTAGATAGAAATCCTGTCTGGTTAAGTAAAGACAAGGTTAATACATACTACAATGGAATACCTATATTATCTCTGGGGTAAGCAGTTTAACAACTGACCTAAAGGTTATTGTGTACTTGTGACCCTCTAGGTGCTGTTCTATATAATGGCTCTGGCTCAGGGAGTGGCAATCCTTCCTTGTCCTGAGATCAAAGGTGACCCATGGTCTTTGTTTGGGGTAACAGTACTTCATGGATGAGTCCCTGAGCCCCTCCCAGCTACTGAGATTGTTTCACCAATTTAGTAGCTTTAACCCAAACCTTTCCAATGCTTATCTATGTAATCCCCAGTAGGAGAAGTGAATGCAGCATTCTTTATTGACATTTTCCAGGCGGGTGAGGTGAGACTTATGGGAGTAATTCCCATTCGCCACCGTAGCCTTGGGATCCGCATTCCTTCAGGATTATTGTAAAAGTTACAGTAAGGCTGGGGGTGTTATTTTACCTTTACGGGTACCGGGTACCATAACGACAGTAAAGCCCATGGCAGAGATATTGAAAGGACAAACTAGTACAACAACACAGTTGACACCTTGAGCTCGCGGCTGCCTTGCTTGCAGCTTCTTCTCAGCCAAGCCTTGCTTAGACATGAGAGGCAGCTGCCCATGTTCTGCCTGTGTTAGCTGTATGGGCTCCGTCAATATATATTCTTTGTATGGGGACCAGCAGTTAGCGTAATGGCTATGTCACTGGACTCCCATGTCGTCAACCGCGGTTCGAGTCCCAGACCCGGTGGCTTAAACTCACGCCAGGCGCGTGTGCGTGCGTGCCCAAGATCCTGAGAGGAGAATGGAGGAGAAGGGATTGTGGTGGGGCCATCCCCTCTGGGGGATGATTTCTCGCTTCCTATCTCTCTGTCTCTCTGGTGAGCACACGCGCCCAATAAGAAAAAACCTCTCGGGACCAGCAGTTAGCATAATGGCTATGTGGCTGGACTCCCACATAGTCGGCCGCGGTTCGAGTCCCGGACCCAGTGGCTTCAACTCACGTCGGGCACGTGTGCGTGCGTGCTTGCCCAAGATCCTGAGAGGAGAATGAAGGAGAAGAGATTGCGGTGTGACCATTCCCCCAGGGGGTGATTTCTCGCTTTCTGTCTCTCCTCTCTTTGTCTGTCTGGTGAGCGCACACGCCCTATAGCAAAAACCTCTCAAAAAAAAAAAAGTAAAAAAACTCTCATATTCCTTGTAAACCACATGGCTGGCCGTAGCCTCTCGGAAGACATTTTCTGGGAGGCTGCGTAATTTAAATCGCCCATGCTTCGTTTAAATAAACTCTTGTTAAATTTTGGTTTGTCTAAATTTGTTTTTTGTTTTTGTTTTTGTTTTGAGAGGTTTTTGTTATAGGGTGCATGGGCTCGCCAAGAAGAGAGAGACAGAAAGTGAGAAATCACATCCCTGGGGGGATGACCACACTGCAATTCCTTCTCCTCCATTCTCCTCTCGGGATCTTGGGCACGCATGTACACGTACCCAGCATGAATTTTAAGCCACCGGGTCCAGGACTCGAACTGCAGTCGACCACATGGGAGTCCAGTGACATAGCCATTACTCCAACTGCTGGTACCCTAAATTTGTTTTTAACAGGTTTTATAGGCAAAACTACAAGTTTTTGGTTCACAGATAGGTCAGCTTGATGTGTTCACATGAGCTGAAAACGAGCTACTGCTATACTACAGTTTCATCAGGGCAGCTCTTAAAGAGTATAATGAGAAGAAATCCTAGATGGGGCAGGGCTTTAAGTACACTTAAAGCTTACCAAGAACACTTGAGTATCTACTTTGTGTGAAAGGAGTAGATGGAGTAGTGGCTTATACTGTGGAGGGATATGTATAAGCTTCTAGTTGTGATTGAAGTTGTGCTTGTTGGTCAGGGACCTAGGAATCAGCAGAAGATGATTGGAGACAGATCTGGGGAAGAAAGTGAACCTATGAGAGTGGTCACAAGGTATATGCATCTTTGTGCTTCTTGATAATAGCCATTGAAAAGGAGTCATTGAACAACAAGATGAATAGAACAGATGTCAGTCAGCTTCTATCCTTGGCTAGCCTTGTGCTTGTATGATGAACCCGTGAATGGAGTTGTCATGGCAGCAGAGTGCACTTATGCCTAGCAACACAGGCTCTCTCTTGTGAAAATTTGTCAGAGGGTGAGACCAGCAGATGGCTTACTGGCTACATTGCTGAAATCCCACATAGTCGACCATGGTTCGAATCCCAGACCTGGCAGCTTAAAACTCATGCCAGGTGTGTATGTGTGCATGCTCAAAATCCCAAGAAGACAATGGAGGAGAAGAGATTGCAGTGTGGGGGTGATTTCTTGCTTCCTGTCTACCTCTCTTTATATATAGCAAAAATCTTCTCTGAAAGAACAAAAAAATTTTTGCCAGAGGGCATGTGTGCTCACAAGAGAGAGAGAAAGAGAGACAGAAAATGGGAAAGCACCATTCAGGGAGGACAGCTACATTGCAATCCCTTCTTTGTTTCTCCTTTCAGAGAAAGGAGAAAACACATACACACACACACACACACACACCAGGCCTGGGACTTGAACTGTGCAGTCATTGAATCCAGCCACCCCAACAACCATACCACTCACTGGCTGGCCTCATGGGTTCTCTTATCAAGTTATTCCTGAATATCTGACCTGTTTGTGGCTGACATCAGTGTCACACTCCTCGTCTGGTGTTTCTAGAATACAGTTACTAGTTACTCAGCATCAAGTTGCTGATCCTTTCTACCCAGGAGAGAACATTGATTCTTCCTTACTGGAACTGACACTTGTTCTGGGTATAGGTTTGCTCTCCTTATCCACAGTATCTCAGACTAGCATCGCTGTCCAAGAGCTTAGAGAGTGCTCCGTTTACCAACATAGCATCATGTATAACACTGTTTCAGGCCAAGAAACTTACTTTGCAGTGAAAGAGGTACAGCAGTATGTAGATTGTTATGAAATTCACTGCTTCTCTAGTATCTTGCATTATCCACAAGCAGCCAGTCTGGTAGAAAGATGAACAAAGGCCTCCTTTTTTTTTTTTTTTTTAAAGATATTTTTACTACCTAGGTATTGTACACATGTGCTTACTGGAGAAACAGAGAGACAGTGAGAAATCAATGCCTGGGGGGATCACCACACTGGAGTCCTTTCTCCTTCATTTCCCTCTAGAAATTTTGGGCACACACACTTGTGGCTGGCATGAGTTTCAAGCTGTCAGGTCTGGGACTCAAACTGCAATTGACCATGTGGGAGTCCAGCACCTTAACCAGTATGCCACCTGCAGGCCCCAAAAGATGAAGTAACCTCTGGGAACCAGCAGTTAGCGTAATGGCTATGTCGCTGGATTCCCACGTAGTTGACCGCGGTTCGCGTCCTGGACCCGGTGGCTTAAAACTCACGCCGGGCGCGTGTGCGTGCGTGCCCAAGATCCCGAGAGGAGAATGGAGGAGAAGGGATTGCAGCGTGACCATCCCCCCTGGGGGGTGATTTCTCGCTTTCTGTCTCTATGTCTCTGTCTGTCTGGCGAGCGCACGCGTCCTACAGTGAAAATCTCTCCAAAAAAAAAAAAGATGAAGTAACCTCTTACAGGCTTACATAAGGCCCCAGCTCTAGGACTCTGAGGTGATTCAGGCGAATGCATTGAACCAAAGACCAATATAGGTGCCCTGCCCACAGTAGATATAATATATGGTTCTACAAACAGACACGGGCCCAGGAACCCAGAAGTTGGAATTGGCTCTTCTGACCATATTCCCAGTAGCTCACATGTAGCATTTTTACACTCTGTCTCCACACCCTTAAGGTCTGCTGGATTGGAGCCTGGTTTCCAAATAAGGAACATTTCATGAGAGGACTTCCACTGGTTGCACAGGTGACCCTGAGATCCTCCTGCTGGTGGACAAGCAGGCAAAAGGAGAGGATGATTGATCCTGATCATATGAGGATGTAGGGTCGCCGATACAAAATACGCAAGCAAGAGTTGACCTGGCATTTAGAGGATGCACGTGAGTCTCTTGCCCATGCCCATGATGGTAAGGTGACTAAGAGCTCAGAACCCTCAGGGACAAATGGCTGGATAATCCACTAGATGAGTCACATAGGCCAGCCAAAGGCTGGCTGAAGTTGAGGCTGAGCAGGGGTGGAGGGGGTGTGTGGATGAATATCAGTTACTGCAGTGGTGATCCCATGTTTGTTTTGCTAACTCTTGCATTAAAACCTTTGTAGAATTATAACTAACCTTTACTTTGAACAGAGTAGACTCAATGTGGTGCCTGAGTAGATTGGAACAGTGTAAGAATTGGTGCCTTGATTGATGTCCTCAGCCTACCTTTGACTGCAGTGGGCTTAGAAGGGCTGCATCTAGGCACCTACTATGTCTTTTCGTTTTATGCCCCAGGCCTTATCTGAGACCACACAAGCCCACTGGGCCTGTATCCAGCATAGTCCAGGTATGGGGGGTGGGGGGGTGGGGGCAGCTTCAGGGACCAGAGCCAGGAATCAGTGGATAGAGATGGACAACCTTCTCAGGAGGTCCTGGTGAAGTCAGAGTTCTGTAACTCAGAGCAGTAACCTCAGTAACACACTTCCATTTTGTGCTCCTTCCTTTCCTGTCTCATTTTCTCTATCCCTCACTTCTCTTTCATGAGATCACCTTGTGAACAAACTGTTTGTACCCAAGACTTCGTCTTGGGCTGTGGTTTCAGAGGAACCCAAACAAAGATTACACTGAAAACAGAAAGGTTTTTGTCAATTTATATCAGCCATAAATAGATAAATAAATAAATAAATTAATTAAATATGTACATGACTAGATGAGGCTATAAAGCTAGGAACTAATTGTAACTTAGTTCAAACTTATCAACATTGGTGCACTCAAATGAAAAACTGTATGTCACGTTTTAGGTCAAGCGCTGGGAGGTATATATCTATACCTGGTTGGCTAAGTGGAGCCTGGACTTGTTTGTGGCTTACACTACTGAGAATGGACTGGAATGGATTTGTAATATGTGTGACCTAGCCACCAGTATCCTTTATGTTGCTCTTCACTAGGCCATTATGTTGATTTTTTAAAAACAGGTTATGTTATGAATTCTTTTTCAAGATAATGAACGGGTACAATCAATAAAATGGAAAGACAACCTATGGGATAGAAATAATTGCAAACCATATTTCTGATAAGAACTTAATATTCAAAATGTGTAAGAAATGCACATGGCATCCCTGTAGCCTAGTGGTTAAGCTTGTCTAACTATGGTTTGAATACTGGCTCTAGCATCTTGAAAAACATTCTGGGCATGTGTGCATTCCTGCCCCAAACCCTGACATGATGGAAAAATGAATGAGAAGGGATTACAGTATGACCAACCCCCATTGGGAAGGGTCCTTTCTCTCTCTCTCTCCCTTCTGTGTGTGTGTGTCTCTCTCTCTAATGAGTTCATGTGTCCCCTGGCAATTACAAAAAATGAAAGAAAAAAAACCACAACTGAATAGCAAAATAATAAATAATCCAATTTTTAAAATGGGTAAAAGATCTGAGGAGACATTTCTCCAAAGAAGGCATACAAGTGGCCAACGAGTTTATGAAAAGGTGCTCAACATCACTAATCAAGGAAGTGCAAATCAAAACCTCAATGAAATATCACCTTGCCTTAAGGTCTGCTGGATTAGAGCCTAGTTTCCAAATAAGGACCATTCCATGAGAGAACTTCCACTGGTTGCAGGGAGGAACACTTTCATTGACCCTGAACCTACAGAAACACCCTTTTAGGATGGATATTATAAAAATGACAAGAGATAACAAGTGTTGGTGAGAGTGCAGAGAAAAGACAACCTTTGTAAACTGTTGGTGAGAATATAAATTGATGTAACTACAATGGAAAACATTGTGGACATACTTCGAAAAATTAAAAACATAGCTATCATGTGACAATGCCACTACTGAGTGTATGTCCAGAGAAAATAAAATTGGCATCTTGAAGGTTATCTGCATCGACATGTTCACTGCAACACTATTCACAATAACCAATATCTGAAAAGAACCTAAAGTGGTCCAGGCATGGTGGTGCAGCAGTTGTACAGTGCTGCATGATGCTGGAAGCTATCTGGGATATGGGTTTTGGTTCCTGAGTTGACCTGTACACACCAGACACATATGTCTGTACTCCTGGCTGTCTGGGAAGAGTTGGAGGGAGGAAAGCAGCATGAGACCCAGTGGAAAGTAATCCTCACCTTCTGGGACCAGCAGTTGCCGTAATAGCTATGTCGCTAGACTCCCATATAGTCTGCCATGGTTCAAGTCTCAGACCCGGTGGCCGGGCTTGTGTGTGTGAGTGCCCAAGATCCCGAGAAGGGAATGAAGGAGAAGGGATTGTGGTGTGGCTATCCCCCCAGGGGGTGATTTCTTGCTTTCTCTCTCTCTCTCTCTTTCTGGCAAGCACACGCGCCCTATAGCAAAAACCTCTCCAAAAGAAAGAAAGAAAGAAAGTAATCCTCACCGTCACCTTCTTTCTGTCTGTCTGTCTCATGAAATAGATATTGATAAATAAACTTTAAAAATAAAGTGGGCCAATTGATGGTGTGCTGGTTAAAGTAGCTGGATCCTTCATGACTGACTGCATGGTTTAGGTCCCAGACCCAGTGGCTTGAAAAACACACTGGGCATGTATGCATGCATTCCCAAAATCCCAAGAGGAGAATGGAGAAGGGATTATGGCATTGGCCATCCCACCTTGAGTGCTTTCTCACCACCCCCTGTGTCTGTGTCTGTCTCCAGTGAATGCACACACCCTATAGCAAATTAAACAAAAGCCCAACCAATATGTTCTTTAGTGGATGAATAAATAAAGAAAATGTGACATGCACATGTGCACACACAGAGGAACATGATTTGGCCATAAAAAATAAGAAAATTCTGTCATTTGTGACAACATGGATAAACCAGGTGAAGTAGGCCAGACACAGAAAGACAAATGCTATATGAGCTCACTTGTGTGTGGAAGCTAAACCACTGATCTCATAGAATTGAGATAGAACAGTGGTTACTGGGGCTGGGAGGTAGAGGCTATAAGGAGATGTTGGTCAAAGGGTCAACTAGTGGTGTGGTGGTTAGGGTGACTGGAACCCACATGACAGACTGTGCAGTTTGAGTCCCAGACCTGATGACTTGAAAAACATGCCAGGCGGGGACCAGCAGGTGGCATGGTGGTTAAGGTGCTGTACACGCCCACATGGCTGACTATGGTTCGAGTCCCAAACCTGGTGGCTTGCTTTCTCAGTTTCCCTCTTTCTCTCTGTCTCTCTCTGTTCAAATTAAAATAAAATGAATGAAAAAATAAAATTAAATAATTCTTTTGAAAAAAGGAAAAAGAAAAACATGCTAGCCATATGTGCATGCTTACTCAAAACCCCAAGAGGAGAAATGGAAGAGAAGGGATTGTAGGGTCACCAATTCCCATGGGAGTGCTTCTCTCTTTCTCTCTCTCTCTCTCTCTGTCTCTCTCTTGCAAGCACATGTGCCCTCTAGCAAACTTTAAATTTAAAAAATTAATAAGTTTTGGGGATCTAAGGATGGTATTTGTCGTGATGGATGCATTAATTATTTTGTGGTAATTACACAATACATATATGTTATCAAGTTTAAAAGTGAAGAGACATAAAATATATTGTATGTGTTGGATCTGCTAGGGTTGTGACTGCTTGGCCTAATTTATGACTGTGACTTCAATTAGCATTAATATGCTTGTGATTGAATAATAGTTTGATTGGGTCTAATATCCTTGGGTCACTGTATTAGTTTCCTATTGCTGCTGTAACAAATTTAGTGACTTAAGATAACAGAAATTTATTCTTTTGTGGTTCTGGAGAAATTTGAATTTACTATTATTAGGCCAACATTAAGGTATAGTTAAGACTGCACCTTCCTGTAGGCTCTAAGGAAGGAAGAACCCATTCCTTCGTTTGTGGCTGTATCCCTCCAATTTCTGCCCCCTCCTTCCTCTGTGCATGCTCTCCCTGTGCCTCTCTCTTAAGGAATTTGTGATTGCACATAGGGGCTACCTGGATAATCCAGGATAATCCCCCAACAAAAAAATCCTCAGTTTAATCACCTCAGCAAAGATCCTTTTTCTGAATAAGGTAGTATTTACAAGTTCTGGGGATTAGTGTGTGGACATATTTTGGGGGACCATTTTTTTTTAGCCTTCACAGTCACTAATTTTCTTTCTTATAGCTTTCAGCTCATTGTTCTATTATGTCTTTATCTTTGAATATTGCATTCAAAAAGTTATAAGTCCAACCTAGTTTTTTCCCCCTTAGGTATGATTTGATTTTTCTGCCTGAATACTTGAAGAAATACGATATATTTATATACGAGGTATGATTTATTTATTTATTTAAAATAATAAAATCTAATTTTGGAACATATTAAACCTTACATGTTAACATAGTATCTTATAAAATATTTTCTAAAATAAAAAAACATTAATGAGACTACTGACTGCTATGGTTTGAATACATCCCTCAAAAAGCATGTATTAGAACCTTGATCCTGGGACCAGCCAGGTGGTGTGGTGGTTAAAGTGCTCGTAGTCCCATATGGTTGGCCATGGTTCGAGTACCAGACCTGGTGGCTTGCTTTCTTACTTTCTCTCTCTCTCTCTCTCTCTGTCTTTCTCTCTGTCTCTCTATGGTCAAATTGTATAAAATAAATGAACAAATTAATAGAATTAAATAAATAATTCTTAGAAGAAAAAAATCTGAAACTTGATCCCAATGCAATAGTGCTGGGAGGCAATGCCTAATGGGAGGTGTTTGCAGAGCCCTCATCAAGAGATTGCTGCTGATTATAAGATGAGTTATATCTCCCGCCCCCTGCGCAGCTGGGCACAGAACAGCCGGCCCCCCTCCCGGGGCCTCGCGGCCGGGGGCTCCCGCCCCCTGCGCAGCCGGAGGGCCCACCTCCGGCCCGGCCTCCCTGGCCTCTCCGTGCTGGACGTGGAGGCCGAAAACAAGGTTGAAGAACTTGCAACTTGAGAAGATGATAGCTACCAGCCCTGCATTACCTCAGGGGAAAACAAGAACTACTCTGCCATTCTTAAGGAAGCCAGATACCCAAGAACAACTCACACTGCAGATCCCCACAACACATTCCTGGTAACTACAAGATGACTGCTGTGCCGCATCAGCTGATATTCATCCCTGCGTACCAGAACTGCTTTCCTGAAACTGCATTCCCTGGAGACTCACCTACACTTGTGGATCTGCAGGAGACCCTCCCTTAATCCAATCCTGAATAGAATCTATGCTCCCTATTGTCAAAAACTTTTTATGAGCTGATAATTGGAACTCTGGCCTCTCTCCCTTTACTTGTATGTATCACTTTTTCAATAACTCTTCTGGAAGACAACTGTATATAGCAGAGATAGTGTAATGGGAGAGTGGGAAAGGGCAGAGGGACAAACATAGGGGAAAAAAA